ATAAGGTAGCAAGTATTTAATACAAAATCGACATGAAATACAACATTAATGCATTCAATATTTAAATCAGACTATTTTGTAAGGACGTCGCCGTCTGCTCGCTACGCTAAAGCGCTCGGTCGCTGCGTTTTCTCTAGCACGAGCTTCCAGATTCTGCTGCAATGTCGGCAACACGTTTGTTTTCTGCTTTCCGATGGCCACAAATACTCTGGTATTAATAACCCATAATTGAATAAAGCTAACGTTATATATGTCCGATAAGTGTACTGTCACCTTTTATGGGTTGAAGGTCGTCTATTATTGTGCAACAGAGAAGGCAATGCTTTATTACGGAACAAACTAAAATACAAGCATTACACCAAAGCGAAGCTGCTGCCAAACATATGTAGGACAAAAATGAATAAATAAATCGATAAAAAATTTAAAATGATGTCAAATAAAATGTAAAAAATGTGCGAAGCAGGCAGTCTAAATGGGGCAAATCCTCGGCATGTACAATACAAAAGGGGAAACTGATCAAAATTGAACAGAAGTCCTATAATTTCCCCCATAGCTTGTGTTAAATAGAAACAATGATGGGTGAGAATCGCAATGTAATTGTTGTAAACCATTGACTTCCAGTCTCCTTGTGCTTGTATTAAGTGGCCTGGGACACCGTTAATAGCAGCGAATGTTGCCCCTCCCCTTCGGAAGCTATGTAGTGAATACTGCTGTGTTAATAGATCTGTTGCAGATAGTAGTTGCTTAAACTTGCTGTTAAGTGAGTTGTGTGTTAGTGTTGTCAGTTTGACTGCCTGCTGATAGACAAAGGCTGGTGCACAGGGAGGTGCTTTAACAAGACGAATCATGTTGCAATAGGGTCTAATTGGACAGGATTTAGGTAGCCGAGAAAGGGCGGTTTAGGCCCACTGTGTGTCTAATAAGTTGGCCCTTAATGGAGAATTCTATGTCAGACCGTCTCAAGTGTTCACAAGTGAACATTTATAGCGAGAAGAAGGCACAATGTTTGATTTGCGAATACATGAAAAAAACCCATATGGTTAAGCATGCCCGAACAGTGAAATCATTATCTAGATTTAAGAGCTGCTCAAAAGCAAAACAATGTTCAAGGAGTAGTGACTTACGTAGCTGTGGCATGACGTGTAGAGATTTGTCTCACCTGATAGAGTGAGTCTCAAAGTCGCCTAGATTGTAATCAAGCAATTTGTGCCATGCAGCAATTACTGAAATGTAGTTTTAAATTGATTTTGCGCTTGTAAAAGTTCGTGAGAGTAGGCATGCGAAGGTTTGGATATGTACCAGAACAAAAAAGCACGTTTCTGTGTTTCTTTAAATTTCTTGAGCAGAGTAACCCATTGACTGTCATTACCTGTTGATGAATTAAATGTCATTGATTAGTTCAAGGCAGTTGGCGTTAGGTGTTTGCTCACTGGTAATAAATTAACTAGTCAAACAGTCAAAATGCATTTTGTTTGATTTAGATCAACGTGGTGAGAGCATATCCGTGGTCAGCATATCTGTTGTCTGTTCTTTGTATATGTGTGGCTTTGATTTGAATGTTCTCGATTGCTGCCATCAACCAGATATTTTGTGCAATGTGAAGCAGACTGGATGGTTTCCTCCGGCGAAATCATTGGTTGTACGTTGACAGACCATTACGGCTGTTCGAAGGCCAAATGGAAGTTTGGTGTTGAAGTAGAAGTTATTGCTCCAGGTAAACCCGTAAAGATGTTAGTCGCAGGGATCTACTGGTATCCATCGACAGCAGCGACGAATATCACACTTATATATGTGGCATCCTGGACCATAATGATTATTATATTATACCAGTATATAGATGGTGTTAATCCATCGATTTGATTGGTCCCAACACAAAATTTGCATATGCAGTTAATGGTATATTGGCTGATAATGCACGGCTAAACCAAGTAGCCCTGGAAGATGAATTGACTACAGGTTTAATACGGAAATACATAAAACCGGTAGTATTTGATTTTTAGGGGAATATAGTGGTTGAATTTAAAAAAATAATATTGAAAAATTACCGAATTAAAAACATCTGAACAAATTATATAATAATAATATTGCTTTTATTAATAACGGGATCCGAGTTGTGAGCGTCGGTCGTTGGGTCATTGTCCTTCGCCACACAAACCTAAACCACCGTCCCTCAACACCGTGAGGTGCCTAAACGAACGCCAGAACGCTGTTTTCTCCGTATTGTGACTTTGACATGGATTGCGAACCTTCAACAATAAAAACATAATCTTTATGTTTAACTGGTAACCAACTAGATGAGATTGAGGGAATGAAGGACAAAAAAATGCAAAAAAACTACGAGTCACAGGCAAAAATGTGTGCCACCGTAGCGGCGTTCGAATTCTATCTGACAAAATTGCAGTGAAATTGCACCCGGGTTATTGTCATCTGTTTCAAAGAACATGGGACGACGCAGAATTCGACGACGATATATGGTATTGTAATTCCCCACTATGGGTAAATAAATTACAGGAGATGATTAAGGTAATTTCGAAAGCTGCAGATTTGTGCAGGACTTGAGACAAGGAATATCATGTACGTCATCAAACTTACCCCAGAACAACGACAAAACTTGTCAGGCATACCGCCGCGTCTCAAACTTCTGTCTAACCAAGTACCGCTGAACGTCAAATATCCACAGTTACCAGTAGTATAATGAGTCACAAAACTGGTTTATTTTACTAGTGTACTTTCGATTACAATCCAAATTGTACAAAAACCTGAATGAAAACGTGGAAAATCAGTTGTTTTAATGATCCAAACTGTACTCGACCCTGTATTTCAAATGGCGTTGAGTCAGTAAAAGGTGGGGAAGGTAATCTTTTGTTATGCTAATTTTTGTGTTTACGCCGCTCTATTCACTGTGGATACGTTTCGTTTTCACGTGGAATAAGAATTAGTGTGTAGTCAATTTGAATTGTGTTGCGTTTGTAATTTTGGTATGCATTCAGTGTACAACTACATACTATTCTTATAAATAGTCATGTTCAAGGGCCATAATCATGATCTTATAGTAGATTCAAGATTTTTTTTACTAGTTTTATCGAATTGTCAATATACTGGAATAATATATTAGCAATAACCCTCCGCCAAAGTTGGGTATACCACTTGATATTGCACAATTCACTCCATATATGTCGCGAATTGTGCAATTCCTCGTGGTATACCCGCCTTTGGCGGGGCGTTATCGCTTAAATAATTGCTCATTGAATTGATGGGTATGAGAGCTTGTAAGGGTGACCTACATATTCAGCGCCTGGAATGACGTCGTTTACGGAATGTGCATTTGAAAGGTCTATAACAGTACGCATCTCTGTGGTGTTTTCTTTTGCACTGACAGTAATGGTGAAAAAGTTGCGGGAATGTTGAATGGGTTCTAGACAAAAGGACTAAGTAGTGCTCCAAGCTGTGTTTTTCCCTTATGATGTAGCTCTCTGTGTGTGATGTGAATGCAATTACGGATGCATGGTTGATGTTGAGAGTTGGTGTGCATTACAATTGATGGGCCGACCATACTTTAAGAAGTAAACAATGATGTTGTCTTCGTAACTTATCGAATCTGAGCTCCATTGTGGAATGATGAAAGTAGAGGGTACTTAAATGCGTTATTTAGGATAGTTATATTTGCCTGAGTTAAAGACTCTATCGTGTGATTCTATCAAAGCATTGATGTCCAAATTGCATTTAGGTGGCCACGTCCTGAAGATGGCGGTATTGGGTAAGTATCAGTATTTGGTCGATGCAACGTAGAAGGCGAATTATTAGAATAAGAAGATATATTCATAATGGGTGCTTCGCAATTTCGTGGTGTGTGCTAGTTGTGAACTGCTGGAATCAACTCGGGATTTCATAGTAGAGGGCTTGGTAGATGATACTGTAGTTTCTACATCAATTATGGTATCCATCACGGGGAGAGCGATCTCTGTGTCTGCTTCATAGAATGATGAGATACTTTTGGTTGGCGGCAAAGCACAATAACAATCGGCGATATTGTCATTTGTGCTATCAAGGTTTTCCTGTGCAGGAATTGGAATGGTGAGTACATGGACCTTTGAGCGCGAGTCAGAATATACGTCATTGAGTGTAGAGCTGCTGTAATGTTTTGTAAATGATGCATTCAAACTTGAGGTTATCTGATTGAGACTTGTGTAGGTTTCATATCCATTTGGCAGTCAGGCTTCTGTAGGTTTAGGCTTGGGTTTTTTTCTTTTGAAAAGGCATGGTCTACAAATATGTAATTCCTTCTCACCATTATTGTCATGGTTCTTACAAAAGGTGCATTTCTCATTCTGGAATTCGGAACAATAACGTGGTCTTGATGAAAATTGTTGGTTTTTGGAAGCCCTATGCAATCTGGTGTGTTGGCAGTGTGCTTTGATAGGCGAGAAATCAGAATTGCATGATAGTCGACCTCGCTCCGGACCAGTTAAAATTTCGCTATAAATTGTCTGACCTTCTGCCTTGTGTAAATGTATGCTAAATACAGCAGTTGTATGATATGATTGGTTGTGGGTTTCCTGTGTTGACATGGCTCTTCATTGAAAATTATGAATAATTGCAGCCATACTGAGGTTGATATACTGCAGTTCTGTTTTGCTGGACATAAATGATGACCTTGCCAATTAATGTGGCCATGGGAAAACATAGGAAACATGATCGCTTGGTCTTCTTGCAGAACCTGATTTTGGACTTTTGTTGCTTATTTTTGGGACGGAACATTTTATAATGAAGATTCATACTGCATTGGATCGATCTTTGGCTGTGAAGTACTCCACTTCGTCTGAGCTGGTGTTTTACCCGAATCGCATGTGCTTGAATCACAATTCTCTGTCAATAGCTTTTTATTGTTTTTTCTTGACAATTTTTGTAGTTTCCTTATCTCGTCTAAGACTGTCTATAGTGAAATTTCCGTCTTCACTTTTGATTCTGCTGCAATTTCTACATTTAGCTTATTTCTTACTGTTACCTGTCATTTTCCAATCTAATGTTCTGTAACTTAGCATGTTTATGTTTGTCTGAATCAGAAGATTCCTCTTTCCAACTACTTATTAGTTTCCTTGTCTGGGAAAAAAAATGGAACTTTGGGACGAGTAGCTGGTGTGACGTCGTGCGTGTCACGTGACTTGCTCGAGTAACTTGTCATGTTGTCGACTTGATAATTTAATGAATTACCAGCGTTTTGCTTACAATTTCTTCCCGAAGGTCCGATGTGTTGCACGAGTGGACCTTGAGACATTGTTGTGTAAAATCTGATTTGCGTGGAGGACACAGCAAAATGGCTGACTATTACAGGCCCGCTGGGGGCACTGTACAAGACAAAACAAGATGAAAATAAAATGAACTCTAGGGGCGACTTGCTATAGGAACAAAGCAATAGCAAATTAAACAAAATTACAGATAATTTATTACAGAATTGTGAATGCGATTTAGTTGTAGCACACGTATAATGTCAAGAACAAGCTTTAGAAATTTCTATCAATAGCCTAAAAACATTTAATTCCTCTGAAAACAAAGGAATTGCATGGTCATTTGAAGCAAACACAAGTATTCATGCAGCAAGCAATCATACATCTTTTTTGGTGCTGAACCGTTGCAGAGGCGGGCGATACTGTCGGAGACAGAACTGTACCAAGCATGTATTTTGTGTATCTTAATAAACAATAGTTACACGTAATTCATGCGTGGTTAGGTATGTGTAAGATTGACCGGTGTTTATTATTATTTGTACATATAAATATACTGATCCCATCAGTCTAAACGATATTTGAAGTAACCGAAATGTGTATATTGATTAAAAACCCACACACGAGGTAGTAACAATATTGAATAGTGTTTTTGGGTTAATATTTGACCCGACCTCGTGACACCAAAAATGAAATTACTGCAACAATTTTAGTAAATTATTACAAATACGTAGCTCGTATAGGTGGTAATGGTAGAGGTCTATACACCATACCTGCATCCAGGACAATACATTATTAGGTTTAATCCCATTGAACATAAATTGTATTTTCATAGAATATGATTCATCAAAATTAAAACTACATTTATTCTGCGGGTCATATTTTTACGACAGTTTCACATAAATGTATCGAATTAACGTTTTCATTATTATGGTGATATGATTGAAAAATCATGTTCAATTAGAATATTTGTGATATTAACTATATGCTTTAACATTAGAATCTGGAAGATTTTTCAAGATTGTGTTTTTTTATTATATGTATACAGTTTATATGATATTCGTCGAGGGCGGAATTTTATCACACCACGAGTGAGCGACAACGCTAAATAATGGTTAATACACGATACTATACTATCGTACTAGGTAAGAGGAATCGTACGTAGCCATATTATATCGGTTTATGTTACATTAGTGTCACCTAAAGCTATATTTGCAGCAGCAATTAATCCCTACATAAACATTAATGTCATAGAACAGATGACTGCACATAGTGTAATTAATTCGCTTCGTGGGCATGTAGTCAATATAATTGTATAAATTTATGAATTAAATCGTACTTTAATATATTAATATATATTTAATATCTGAACAAATATTTTCAAATTACCAATATGACTTCACTATTTGTGTTGTTGATTGTTTCTCATAGTGGTAGTATATTTGTTGACAATATTCACTAAAATGCACGCCTGGGAATGTCCACTAATAACAGGTAAGTTGATTTTAATTGCAATGTTATTTATTGTCGACCCGAGATATTACAGAGGGTATATTCATACCTTTAGAATTTCTGTAAACATCTAGTGCATTGAAACTGAACAATTTATACACGAATACTATTAGAAATATATGGCTAAAGGCCTAATACACGAGACGAATAACGAGCTAACGCATCGAACAATACATGGTCAACGCAGATGCCTCACAAGTTGAATAGTGTAAAACGGCCTTTAAAGCTGCCATACAAGGGTAATTAATGAGGCAATGCGTGACTTACCTGAAAAATTGGTTGCACGAGGCAACTGAAGGCTCGACAAGTCGCCTGAATTACATGTTTTGCCCATTTTTTCAATCGTCCATTCAATGCCGCGCAATGTCATCCAAAGTTTTTCACTCTGACAACAAACTTTAGATGAAATGTTTATAGTATGCATTATAATACAACTAATAATGATGTGAATTTATGTACGCTAATTCAAGGTAGAGGTGCAGGGTGCACTCAGAGTGAAATATTTTTTTTGCTTTTTACTTACTCAGACAGTCTTGGCTAGATAGTATTAACATTTTGGAGCTTTGTCAATATTGAACATACTAAAAAGAAAAACGATTTTAAAATATAGGGATCCAAGTGCGCTTATGTGATTAAAAGTCCCGAAAGTTTGTTTGCGTTGCTCTATGATTGACAACTAACGGTTGATGTTATCTACAAATGAGTTGCTGACCTCAGTTACGGGGCAGCGGTGTGTGACCTAATTCCTGATCTGGCTCCATGTTTACTTACCTCAAGCATGGTCAACTAGCCTAGAAAATCACAAAAATACAGACAAGACGTAGACGCTTCCAGCATGTAAGCGGAATGAAACAAAACATACATAAGTGAATGATAAGTAAACTTCAGCCTTATCTCGCAACATGTCAACAACTTCTAGCCTAGCAGCTTCCAGTGGTATACTGTTTAAAATTAGATTTTTTATTCATTTTATGTAGGAGGATGGCCCGATAGCGCGATTTAATTTTCACGAAAAAAACAAGGCCACGATTTCTTTTGTTTTATTGGTGCATAGATTTCAAGCTTTTTTTCATTGGGGCAAAACTTCAAAGGCAATTTTAACACTGAAGTAAACATTTTTTTCGCTGTAACGATCACCGTGCTGATGGAATTGTGATGCAATGGACAAACACCACTGATGTCATCGTGTGTAAAATCGGAAATCTACCATTTTCTGTTCATAGAACTGAAGAAAGTGGAACTAATTATTGATAATAATTTGGTGCGTCGAGGTGATAATGTTAAAATGGAATGTGAGAACAACGATTCGGATGTAAAATACAGGTGGAATTTCAAGGGCAAATAATGTAAGTTTGGTAGCTTGCTTACCTGTTTGTAGTTCACTTTTGACTTGAAATATTACGGGTACATAATTAATGATATCGAAAATAGAATGTAGCATTTATAATGTCTTTCTCAGTCTTTCATTTTTTTATTTTGTTTTTATCGACGTTATTTACAATAGCTGCCGTAATAGTCATTTCTTATTGAGTTCAGTTATTCTTTTCTGATCAGGACACAACGTTTAACTTACGAGCGAATCAATACAAAATTTATCAGATTTTCAACTTGTCGGATGTTGATTGTGGATACTATACTTGTCAAACATACACCGATTGTGGCATGTCGTCAATGTCAAATGTGGTGCATTTACAATTACATGGTGAGTATAACAAGGCACAGTTGTTCCTAGATATATACAATGCTGTATTATACATTTACTAAACAGGCATAACGAATATCTACGTAGCTTTCTGAAATAATAAAGTGTCGACTGAACAACGATTGGCATTTAACACCTATTTAACACACGTCATCGTGAGTATCAATTGGAAATCCAACATTTTTTGTTTATAGACCAAAAGAAAGTGGAACTAATTATTGATAATAGTTTGGTGCGTCGAGGTGAAAGTGTTAAAATGGAATGTGTGGACGAAAATACAGATGTAAAATACAGGTGGAATTTCAAGGGCAATAATGTAAGTTTGGTAGCTTGCTTACCTGTTTGTAGTCCACTTTTGACTTGAAATATTACGGGTACGTAAGTAACCATTATCTAGGACAGAATGTAGCATTTATAATGTCTCCCTCAGTCTTTAATTTTTTTATTTTCTTATTATCGACGTTATTGACAATAGCTGCCGTAATAGTCATTTCTTATTATTTTAGTTATTATTTTCTGACCAGGACACAACGTTTCACTTACTGGCGAATCAATACAGTATTTATAGGATTTTCAACTTGTCGGATGTTGATTGTGGGTACTACAATTGTCAAACATTCACCAACTTTGGCATGTCGTCAATGTCAAATGTGGTGCATTTACAATTACATGGTGAGTATAACAAGGCACAGTTGTTCCTAGATATATACAATGCTGTATATACATTTACTAAACAGGCATAACAATATCTACGTAGCTTTCTGAAATAATAAAGTGTCGACTGAACAACGATTGGCATTTACACCTATTTAACACACGTCATCGTGAGTATCAATTGGAAATCCAACATTTTTTGTTTATAGACCAAATAAAGTGGAACTAATTATTGATAATAGTTTGGTGCATCGAGGTGAAAGTGTTAAAATGGAATGTGTGGACGAAAATACAGATGTAAAATACAGGTGGAATTTCAAGGGCAATAATGTAAGTTCGGTAGCTTGCTTACCTGTTTGTAGTCCACTTTTGACTTGAAATATTACGGGTACGTAATTAACGAATATCTAGGACAGAATGTAGCATTTATAATGTCTCTCAAAGTTCTAAACGTTTTTATTATCAACGTTATTCACAGGAACTTGATGAGATAGCCATTTCTTGTTATTTTAGTTATTTTTTTCTAATCAGGACAACCCGTTTCGCTTACTGGCGATTGGATATAATATTTATCGGATTTTCAACTTGTCGGATGTTGATTGTGGGTACTACACTTGTCAAACATACACCAGAGTTGACATTTCGTCAATGTCAAATGTGGTGCATTTACAATTACATGGTGAGTATAACAAGGCACAGTTGTTCCTAGATATATACAATGCTGTATTATACATTTACTAAACAGGCATAACAAATATCTACGTAGCTTTCTGAAATAATAAAGTGTCGACTGAACAACGATTGGCATTTAACACCTATTTAACACACGTCATCGTGAGTATCAATTGGAAATCCAACATTTTTTGTTTATAGACCAAACGAAAGTGGAACTAATTATTGATAATAGTTTGGTGCGTCGAGGTGAAAGTGTTAAAATGGAATGTGTGGACGAAAATACACATGTAAAATACAGGTGGAATTTCAAGGGCAATAATGTAAGTTCGGTAGCTTGCTTACCTGTTTGTAGTCCACTTTTGACTTGAAATATTACGGGTACGTAAGTAACGTATATCTAGGACAGAATGTAGCATTTATAATGTCTCTCGAAGTTCTATACGTTTTTATAATCAACGTTATTGACAATAACTTATATATATATAAACATTTCGTATTTAGTTTAGTTGTTCTTTTCTGATCAGGACACAACGTATCGATTACTAGCGAACAAATACAATATTTATCCGATTTTTAACTTGTCGGATGTTGATTGTGGGTACTACACGTGTCAAACTTACACCGACTGTGGCATGTCGCCAATGTCCAATATCGTGCATCTACAATTACAGGGTGAGTATAACAAGGCACTGTTGTTGGTTGATATATACAATGCTGTATCATACATTTGCTATACATAATGTCGACTGAACTATGCAATCACCATAAGATTGCACCTAGTCATTACATTTGTGAAGTAGTGTCAGTGTCTTGACAATAAGGCTGTCATATATTATGTTCTGAATGTTTGTACATAATAGATATAATGGCAATGATTCCTCCACCTCAAGGAGGATCAAGTGAAGATTCAATATCTTTGTTGGCTATCAGTATAATTGCAGGGAGCATTGTGGCATCGATGACAACTGCTGTATTTCTTATCATAATTGGGCACAATAAGTACATGCAGAATGTAAGTAGAATAACCATGGTTTTTGATTCGTTTGGTATTTCATTCATTCCATTTTATTTATTAATTATATATTTGTTTCATTTACAGAAAAATAAGGAACACTCTGAAAATAGACAAGTTATTGAACAGTCACGACGAGACCAGGAAGGGCTACATACAAGAGAACATCTCTCGGTTAGTGAACTGTTGCTTGTAATCGTACTGATGTAAATATTAGTTTTTAATACGGTACACATGAATGTGTATGTTAACCACGTACTATATCAGCATTCACATTAGATTGAACTCGTAAATTTCCCGATCAATGGCGAATGCCGAATAAGAAATGACGTGTTGATAGATTCAACAGTTATTGGCGAGGTAAACTATTGTAATATAATAATGAACATTTCATTACCCTGAGGTAGTATTACATAATTTGAATATTTAGTCCTTACATACACAAGGGTATTTACAGGCAAACCAGACACTAAATAGAAACAGTATTATGAGTATTCGATAGCATTTGACGTTACGGCGATTGCCTTACCTACACTGCTGACATTTCTCGATCACAGACAGAAGACTATGGTGCCTGTATGTGACTTACCAAAACTCAAATAACCGCAAAATGTTTTGTTTTGCCAGACGCTACCGTATTGGGTATGATCAGTTTTTTACAGTCCACCAAAGTATGCTTTCACGGTGTCTCCGCTTTGAATTTAGAACAAGCAAACGCGATGACTTCAACTCGTATCACAACTCCTAGATCATCAACATTTCTTGTTACTTCAATTAACACTATACAACTATGTTGTATG